ACCGCTCAAGGATACCCACGAATTTACCAGAAGTTTCCCCATGGTGAGTGCCAGACGCCCTGCGATCCACAAAAACGTCCGTTGCCTGAATGGACGTACCACGATATGCGCCATAAGATGCGCCGCAGGACGCCTCGCGGGCAACCGAACCGTCCGATGACCCAGTAAGTCAGCCGTACGTTGCAAACCAATTCCCCCATTGCCCCAACACGGGCACCTCTATTCCCCAAACACAATATTTGCGTTTAGGGTGTCTTACTTCTCTTCTGAGGAATTGAGCCTGTGCGTCGGTCGGGTGGCTACGTTGTCGCCGTCGCCGCTCCGTCGCCGTCTCGTCGCCAACCACCGTCTGGGCCTGTGCGTGGGTCTGGCAGCGATATTGTCGCCGTCGCCGCCCCGTCGCCGCCATCGCCGCTCGTCGCCGCCTGAAAATTCTCTGTTACAGTAGTACCCATTCGCATATTGTTTTGCCATCATCATGTTGCACATTCGTCAATCCTAAATATAAAATCGTATTACCCCACCTAAACCGCATCGCCCCCCTCATCCTCCGCAAGAAACTCTATGCGCGCACGCGTTTATCAAAAATATTGTGTGCTCAACAAAAAACTTCTGCACCCCCCCCTCAACAACAAAAAAACGAAGTGTACGCGCGCGCGTGGTCGTGCCCGCATGCCGAAACCCGTCAAACACCTCAGGGGCCGTAAAGGTTTCGCATGCCAGAATCACTCGAACGCCCGTGAGCGCGTGCTGTCGCAAAACCTCCATGCAAAACCAGGACGGTGCGCACACGCGCGCGTCGTCGCGCGCACACACGGAAACCCGTCAAACACTCTAGGTTTCCCAGAGATGCCCAAGCCGAATGTCCCAAAAGCATCTCAAAACGCATGGCTGTGCAACACCAAGTTCAACTATTTTTGAATAATACAAAATGCGACAAAATGCGTTCGCGCTTCTGCGAATTCTTGAGGAAACCAATAGGTGTTTCAACCTGTTCACTAAATTCGGCCAAACGGGCCTTTCGCGACGCTTGTCGAAATCATTCGAGCGACCTTGCGCGCGTGCTGGGGGGGCACGACCCGTGTCAAACAATGCCATGCGGGCCAGTCTCGCGCGTCGGCCACGCACGCATGCCGAACTCCCTCCAAAATTTTCATCACAGACGCGAGGACGCCGTCATCGTCGTCGGCGTGATCAGCATCGGCGCCGTATGCCGTCGTCGTTGCCATCATCGCCACCAGCATCGCTACAACCATCATCGTGTCTACCGTTGCCGACGTTGCCATGGCACCGCGCCCGCCCGAGTCGCCGACTCGCACTGAAGTGCCCGCTGGGAAATGCCAGCGAGGGTGGCCGCAGAGATGCACCAGCCAACACAAAGCACTCATCGCAATCGCTGCCGCATGGGTTTTGCAAACCAAATTGCGAATGGGTGGGTGGGGTGGTTGCGCGAGCAGTGGAGTTCACAACTGACTGCGAACAGAAACTCATATTTTTGTTCAAAGAATGTTCCGGTATCCCCCCTCCCCCCCCCCAGGATTTAACGGTGCCCATTTCGCATTGCAAGTTGCATACGAGGCTGCCCCATCATCCATCCGAAATATGCACTCATACCATCCGAGGCAGGCCGGTATCGCCACCCCTTCATCCTTCGAAAAAAATGCTATGCGCGCGCACTCTTGATCAAACATAATCAGTTTTCAAAAACAGGTTTGCAAACAAACTGACGAAGTGCAGGCGCGCGTCGTCGAGCGCGCATGCAGAAATCCTTCGAAAACCACGGGCGTCGCAAGGATTGCAAGATCGAGCGTCCCGAAAACATATAACAAATGGTTACGCAACACGGATGTTCAACAAAAAACTAGCGCTGAGGCTCTTGTGACTTCCTAAGTAAACCAATGGATTTCAACCTTTTCATACAATTCTACCAAACATGCCTTTCGCGCGCGCATGTCGACATCATTCCGACGCCCTCGCGCGCGTGCTGCCGCCAAGCCCCTTGCGAAAAACGGAACGAAAAGCGCGCGCGCGTCGTCGCGCGCGCACACGGAAATTAATCAAAAACCTTGGTGCCGCAAGGATGTCAAAATCGAGTGCCCCGCAAACATATAAAATCACGTGGTTTTGCAACATCAGTTTTCAAATGGCTAACATCATATGTTTGGGATCGCGTGCGGCATTCGCGGCCTAAGGTAAATTAGTGAAGACCAGAAATACACTGCTTCAATGCTTGTGAACGCATCGTATTCCCGCTGTCGAAAGCCTTTGAGGCCTCAATATGGCTCCAAGTTCGCCCATGACAGCTCCAAGATGGGCCCACAAAGGGCCCAAGATGTCCGCAAAGGCCCCAAAAAGAGCGCCCCAATGGGGGCCACAAGGGGCAACATGTCTGGCTCTGGCTGGGGGATAGACAGAGCCGTCCCTTATCGAAATTCGTGCCGAGGGGCCTAGCGAGGGCCCCACGAGCGCTGCAACGCGGCTTCAAGAGGGATGTCACTGAGCTCACCACTGTCGGCCCCCCGTTCTGCTATGTGCTTACTTACTCCACTCCTCCCGACAACTTGCTGCCTGGTCGTGGCTTCTGGATGAGCGACGGACCGTCGAAGGGGATGGGCGCGCAGCGCACACAGCGCGCAGTACGGCATCAGCAGGAATCGGGCTTCGAAGTCAGACCATCTTGATAGGGATGCACGAAGCGTCAAGCATCAGCTACAGTCGTAGTAGTAGCCGTAGTAGTAGTAGTAGTAGTAGTAGTAGTAGTAGTAGTAGTACTAGTTACTAGTACTAGTACTAGTAGTAGTAGTTGTAGTAGTAGTAGTAGTAGTAGTAGTAGTAGTAGTAGTAGTAGTAGCAGCAGTAGTAGTAGTAGTCGTAGTAGCAGTAGTAGTAATAGTAGTAATAGTAGTAGTAGTAGTAGTAGTAGTAGTAGTAGTAGTAGTAGTAGTAGTAGTAGTAGTAGTAGTAGTAGTAGTAGTAGTAGTAGTAGTAGTAGTAGTAATAGGACCCTGGCGGGCGAGCCGCCTGCTCGGAAAAGAAGGCGGCCTTTCTGCCGCGGATGAGCCGACGCGGGCTCCCGCCTCCAACCAAGCGAGCTCACACGCGCCGAGCCCAGGCAGCCCCTGTCTACCCGCTGCCGGGCCCCGGTGGCGCCCGCATCCTTGACTGCGGCGGCTTCGGGGGCTCCCAGACGACCTCAAGACGGCTCCAGACGGCTCGAGACGGCCTGAAGAGGGATGGAAGACGGCGATACAAGAGCCAGGACAGTGCCAAGGCGGGCCAAAGGTGGCCCAAGATGGCTCGGAGACTTCCAAGATGGCATTCACGATGGCCTGAGAGGGCCCCAAGAGGATCTCCAAGAGGCAAATATCACTGTGACCCCTTAGATTGTGTTGGTTACTGGTTTGGGTATACCCGCAGTTCGGACCTCAGAGCCTCCATGACGGCGAGACCCAGGATCGCCCCAAGACGGCTACCGCCCTCTTGAAATCTGGAGAATGGATGCGTCAGACATTACGACTCGTTCGGGGATGGACAGAACCTCCTTTAGTAAAACGCGGTTTAGTGAAAACGACCTCGGGCCCGAACCTGACGGGCGCAAGCCTGGAACATGACGGCCGCGGCGCCCTCCCGAGAACCGAGAACGGACAATTCACCCATCGGCGTGTCGGGGTGGGGGTTCTGCCCACTCCCGACCTCTCCTCGGGCCCCGACGACGACACGCCTCACACGTCACGGCCGCCTCGGGCTCGAACAGGGCCCGTCACAGGTCACGGCCCAGTTTTGGGCGCTGCTCGGCAGGCCACCACACGGAGCGCACTGCGGGGCGCAAGAGGTGCAGACCAGGTGCGGCATGTTGGCGACGCGCGTCTGGCACGAGCATTCGGTCGGGCACGTCCTCCCACAGGCGATGTCTTGAAGAAAACTGACTGCTTGACCACTGTTCGAGTATTGTTGAACATTCCTCCTTGTTGGGAGACACGCCCGACCTAACACGAGCATTCAGTGCACGAGCCTCGTGGCGCATCGTGTCCCGAGCGGCGTGGCCAGAGAGCACCCGCCGCGGAGCTGGCACTGCAGGAGTTCCATACGTGCGAGCCGCCCCTGCGGGGCCGACGCACACATGGCACCAAGCATGTTTGAGCGGTGCAGGTGGTGCCTCGGCAAGGTGGCGAGACTTCCCGTGAGCACCTGTAGAAAGGAGACGGTATGGACAAAAAGCTTACTTAAGGGGCATCGGTTAAAACCTCAATGCACAAGGCACATGTCACACATATCGAAAGCGCAAAGAAAGCACGGGATGTAAATGAGAAGCAAAGGAGATAACGGAGAAGGACAATGAGCAATAACAACGAAGGCACAAGACATGGCAAAGGAAAGGGAGAACTACAAATGCAAAGTGACAGCAGTGAGCGTAAAGGAAAGTTGAAAAGGCAAAGACATGGGCCAAACCACCGCAACAATGAAATCGAACATGGAAGAACGATACTAATACCGCGGAATAAGATGAAGTGCACTTCACGATTGCTGCTGTGAGCACGCCCAAGGCAAATATTGCCCCGCGTCACCAGATTGCGAAGTCCGCCTGAACTGGTCCCTGGACCCTGGACCCCTCCTGCGGTGCACTCTGGCACGCCCTTCGAGCCGCGTCCAGCTGCGGCGATGAGGGCAAGGCGGGACGGACCCCCAAAAAAAAGAGAAAGAGGAGGAGGAGGAGGAGGAGGAGGAAGAGGATGGGGACTGCCTCCCTCAGAAAAAGTGGACCCCTGACATCTCGAGCGGTGCCTTGACCAGAAGTTCGAGGCGGATGTGGCCGTGCTGACGCAAAGCCTCCTGGAGGGCCACAAAGGCACCCAAACCGGTGTATGCTTTCCCTCCCGAACCCGAATCGCCGAGCACTCTCCAGAAAGAGCGGCAGAAGGGAAATGGACGCATGACGTGCTCCGCCCTCCCTCCTCCCCACTTGCTCCCGCGCGGCGCTCGGGGGGGGGCCTCCTGGAGCCTCACCACCAGGTCCTCGGTGTGGAACTGCAGGGGGGAGCCACGCTCCTCCAGGAGATCGCCAATCGCTGCAGAGTCGAACGGCTGGCTCGTGCCGCGTCGGCGCGCGCAGAGGCCTTTGACACCGCGTCGATATCGTTGAACCCTGAACCGATCGCGGCCCACGATCGTTGAAAATTGAATTCCGCCGGGTCCCGTGGCGTTAGCGTCCTTCTGCGATGCGGAGCTCGGCACACTCGCCAGCGTCGCCGGCGCGCCATCGCCGCATGAACATACCGTGTCGTGATGACCTGGGCTCCGACTTCTGCCGCCGCGCAGATCGAGCAGTCTTGAGAACTTCAGGGGATCGACCTAAACAGTGCTTCTCGTTCTCGTGCTGCTTCCGTGTTCCCTCGCTCTGTCTCCGATCCGCCCTCTGCTCCAAAACACGAAATCGAAGCGAGAACGGCCCACGAGATCGCCAAATCACAGTTCAGGTCGACCCCGTGTGTTTTTTGTGTTTTTCCCCCCGTGTGTTTTTTGTTTTTGTTGTGTGTTTTGTATGTTTTGTTTTTGTTTGTTTGTTGTGTGTTTTTCCCCCGAGGATCGCCGCTGCCCTGGAACGCGCAGGTCGCTCAGGATGGGCTCCGCTCGGGCCGCGGGGCGCCTTCGAGACCTCGGACGGCCCACGCCCCGGCGTCGCCCTCGAGTCGAGACGCGGCACAGACCCTGCCGTGTGCCCTCTGGGCTGCGAGTGGCCATCCTGCTCTCTCGCTGCACGCCCTCGGCAGGAGGAGGAGGAGGAGGAGGAGGAGGAGGAGGAGGAGGAGGAGGGAGGAGGAGCCCTCCTCCTCCTCCTCCTCCTCCTCCTCCTCCTCCTCCTCCTCCTCCTCCTCCTCAGCAGAGGTCGGGGGCGGGGCGGCAGAGGTCGGGGGCGGGGCGGCAGAGGTCGGGGCCATCGTCGCCGTCGACCTGCGGAGCCCCGGCGGCAGCAGGCGAGGGCGTTGCCCTCGGGGCGCCTCCCTGCTCCGCTCGGGAGCCGCTCCGCCCGGGAACGCCGGGTCCGACCACTGGATCCTGGCCAGGCCCACCTGAGCCCTGGATCCGCGTTGTGCGCCCTCGCGGCACGGCCAGGGGGTCACACACACACACACACACACACGATCCGGGGCGTCGCCCCCCCACCCCAGCCCGATACTGTTGCGTCGGACTCCCTCCCCCCACCCTTGGCGACGCGCACACGGGGGGTGGGGCGGGGGAGTGGTTTCTGAACAGCCTGGAGCGTCCGAGCCCCTCCGAGAGAACCCCCTGCCGTCATCGACGGCCACAGCCGCGAGGCCAAAGGGCGTGCGCGCGGAAGCGCGTGCACGCCTGCGCGCGAGCATCTGGCGAACGTGCGCGGGCGTGCGCGAGTGTGATCGAGTGTATGTGTGTGTGTGTGTTGGTGTGTGTGCGTGTTGGTGTGTAGGTGTGTGTGTGTGTGTTGTGTTGGGTGTTGTGCGGGTGGTGTGCATGTGTATATGTGCTTGCTGGTTGTGTGTTGTGGCTGTGTATATGTCTGTCTGTGTGTGTGCGTGTGTGAATGTGTGCGTGTGTGCGTATGTGCATGTGTGCGTATATGCGTGTGCGTGTGCCTGTATGCGTATGTGTGGGTGCGTGTGTGCGCGTGTGCGTGCGTGCGTGTGTGTGTGTGTGCGTGCGTGTGTGTCTATGTCTGTGTGTCTGCGTGTATGCTTGCGTCTGTGTGTGTCTCTGCCTGTGTGGGCGTGTGTCTGTTTGCTTGCCTGTGTTTGTGTGTGCTTGTGTGTGTGTGTCTGTTTGTTTTTGTGGTTGCGTATGGATGCGTGTGTATATGTGTGCGTGCGTGTGTGTGTGTGTGCGTGCGTGTGTGCGTGTGTGTGTGTGTGTGCGTGCGTGTTTGTCTATATGTGTGTTTGTGCGTGTCTGTGTGTGCCTATGTCTGTGTGTCGTGTCTGTGCGCATGGCGTGCTGCGTGCGTGTGCTTGCCTGCCTTGGCGTTCTCTCTGCTGTTCCCCGTGCCCACGTTCTTGCACTCGCCTGGCTCCACCGCTCGGTCAATCGCCGAGTTCAACGGTCTGACCAAACGTGGCCAATTCATGGCAAACTTGTCCCGATAACATGCGCCCATCGAGTGGGGCCATCGGCGCGCGAGGGAAGAGTGCGTGCTGCGCGGATGCGTGCGGACGGTCAAGATGGGCCTGCTACGCTCGGCCGAGCACCTCGTGCGCACGCCCCACGCCCTGCACGCGGGACAGCCTTACTGGGTGCGACCCTCGGCATGCAAAGCCAGCACATCGGATGCGCCCTTCATCCCGCCGTCCACCTTCTGAACGTTTTCTTATTCGGCGTTTCGACGTTGGGCGGAGGGTGGGGATCTGGCACGGGACCTGGCACGGGACCTCTGCTTAGTGCGACTGTTTGCAGCAGTGCGTCCCCTTGCAGGCGCCAAAAAAACGGCCGCCAAGATCCACCCCATGGGGGGGGGGGAGGGGGGGGGGCGGGGGCCCGCGCCGATCGGCAAGACAAGGAATGAGAAAACGACAACCTTCACATTGATACACCTCGCCCTCTTCCTTACCCTCGGCCACTGCGCCCCGTGTCGGGCACGTGCTGTGGCCTGATGCCTGCGCACACCTGACCGGCGCAGGCGCCCTGCGCACCCCTCTCCACTGGCGGTGCGTTCGGCGCCGCCGGATCGCACCCCGAGACAGTCGGCCACACCACCCAGCAGGCGCAGACAAGCGCGCGGACGCGCGCGCGAGCGCGTGCCTCCGCCCCCCCCCCTGGGGGGGAGGGAGGGGGGCGAGGCCGCCCGAGATGCTCAGGCGGCAACGCTCGCGCCTGGGGAGTGGAGGGAAGAGGGGGAGGAGGAGGGAGGAGGGGGGAGGAGGAGGAGGAGGAGGAGGAGGAGGAGGAGGAGAGGAGGAGGAGGAGGAGGAGGAGGAGGAGGAGGAGGAGGAGGAGGAGGAGGAGGAGGAGGAGGAGGAGGAGGAGGAGGAGGAGGAGGAGGAGGAGGAGGAGGGAGGAGGAGGAGGAGGAGGAGAGGAGGAGGAGGAGGAGGAGGTGGAGGCAGGAGAGGAGGGGGAGGAGGAGGAGGAGGAGGAGGAGGAGGAGGAGGAGGAGGAGGAGGAGGAGGAGGAGGAGGAGGAGGAGGAGGAGGAGGAGAGGAGGAGGAGGAGGAGGAGGAGGAGGAGGAGGAGGAGGAGGAGGAGGAGGAGGAGGAGGAGGAGGAGGAGGAGGAGGAGGAGGAGGAGGAGGAGGAGGAGGAGGAGGGGGGGGGGGAGGAGGAGGAGGAGGAGGAGGAGGAGGGAGGAGGAGGAGGAGGAGGAGGAGGAGGAGGAGAGGAGGAGGAGGAGGAGGGGAGGAGGAGGAGGAGGAGGAGGAGAGGAGGAGGAGGAGGAGGAGGGGAGGAGGGGAGGAGGAGGGGGAGGAAAAGGGGGAGGAGGGGGAGGAGGGGGGGGGGGGGGGGGGAGGAGGGGGGAGGAGGAGTGGAAGGAAAGGAGGAGGAGGAGGAGGACGAGGAGGAGGAGGAGGGGGAGGAGGAGGGGGAGGAGGAGGAGGAGGAGGAGGAGGAGGAGGAGGAGGAGGAGGAGGAGGAGGAGCAGGCGGAGACTTGCCATCGCTCGGGCGCCCATTCCCCGTGCCTGCTTCGCTCTCGCGCGTGCTTCCTTTTCGCCAGAGGATCCAGGATGCTCCTCGATGGCACTCGCCGAGAAAGAATCGGCTACACGCAAGAGTGACCCTGGGTAAGAGTGACCTTTGGTGCGCGGCTTCTGCGGGGCCGCGGGGGGACCAAACTCAGGCGCGCAAGACGCTACTATCGCATCGCAATCGGTGATCGGGGGACCCCATTGTGCCCGCACCAAAGGTCCCTCCGGCGAAAGGTCACTCTTACGTGTAGTCGAAAGAATGCACACGTCCGAATGATGCCAAGGGCAAGGGGAGGACAGGAAGGTATGCGGGAGGCGACGACCCCGAGCCCAAGATCAGACCCTCCGGTGCTAGGCCCCGGACCAGCCCAGCCGGGATGCGCACGGCAGACCAAAATCCGCTCAAGACTGGCCCCAGACCCCTCCCGTGAGGGGCAAGATGGGAGGGGACTGGCACCGGGGGAGAGATGCATCGACCAGGAATCGGCGATGCATGGCCGATAGGTCGGCGATAGGCCTCTGATAGTGGATCCGCACGCTCCCAGACAGGATGGGGCTATCGGGCGCGCACCGGCAATCGATGAGCGATTGGGGATCGATGCATCCCCCCAATGCCCATCCCCCCCCATCGTTGCCCCTGGTCCAGGGATTCACCCTGACCGATTGTGCCACATGCTGCCAGGGCGACGAAGGGGGGCCCCCAGAGGCCGTGAAGAGAAGGAAGAGGTTCCCAGAGGTACCCGCCAGTCCCTGAGGTCGTTGGAGGCCTCCAGAGCTCTCTTAGAGGCCTCCTAGATGGGGTCCGAGTAGATGGGGTCGGAGGATCGCGTCGCATCGCCGATGCATCGGCGACATATCGGCGATGCGTCGGGGATTCACCGGCGACGCATCGTCGACGTCGGCGATGCAACGGCGACGTCGACGTGAAGCAGAGTCGGGCTCCACATCGAGTCGCATCGGCGATGCATCGGCGATGCGGCGCGATCCTCCGACCCCATCTACTCGGACCCCATCTGGGAGGCCTAGATGAAGGCCTCCCGAACTCCCTCGGAGGCCTCCGGGGCAAAAGGAGAGGAGGACTGGGAGGAGGAGGAGACAGAAGGAGAAAATAATTCGGGTCGGGGAAAGGGGGGGATAGCAAAGGGGGGGTTTGAGAATCAGCTCACGTAGCTGATTTTCCCGGCGCCTCCCGGCGCCGGAGGCGCCCATGTATCGAGGAATGGGCCCCTCGGTGGGGCCGAAACCAGCTGCATGCAGCAGATTTCGTAACCCCCCCTTTCCCAATCCCCCCCTTTCGCCCGACCCGAATAATGCATGAACATAAGCATTCGGAGCTCCGCGCGGATTCGCTGGATCTGCGATGGGCCATCCCTCCCTAGCGCGCGGAACGCGCCAGGGGCGGCGCCGGAGGCGTCGCCAGGGGCGCCCAGAGTCGACACGAGAAATCCGCGCGGAGCGTCGAAAGCCTATGCTTCTGCAGCCTCTTCTCGATGAGAGGAGGCCGAGGACGAGGCCGAGGACGAGGACGAGGACGAAGACGAGGAGGAGGAGGAGGAGGAGGAGGAGGAGGAGGAGGAGGAGGAGGAGAGTTGGCAACGTCTGGTCCTCGTCCCAGATGCGCGCGTAGTTCGCCGCGGACTTCGCCGGCCTGGCGCCGCCCGGCGCTCTCTGGGGGCGGCCAACGGCGCGGCTGAAGGGCGGCGCGGCACGGCGCCGGGCACGGCGCGGGGGGCGGCGGCGGCAGCGGCCACGAGAGCGAGAACGGGGAGACGTACTTCGAGGGCGAGGGGCGGCGTCCCAGGAGGACGAGGAGACGTACTTCGAGGGCGAGGAGGACGAGGAGACGTACTTCGAGGGCGAGGGACGAGGAGACGCACTTCGAGGGGCGAGGGGGAGGAGGACGAGGAGGACGAGGAGACGTACTTCGAGGGTCGACTCAGAAGACTGGCTGAGGGGGCGAGGCGGGCCCCCAACAGCGGCAAGCGCAGACCGGCAGCGCGCGCACAGGGGGGTATGGGGAGGGGGGAAGGCTTCTCAGAAGCACCCCTGCTTCTTGGAAGGGGCGCGGGCCTCGTCTGCACATGCAAGGCCGGAGCGCGCCTTCCGAGAAGCAGCCTCCTGCTAGGAAGCCTTCCCCCCTCCCCCGACCCCCCTCTGCGCGCCGCCAAGTACTCCGAGGGCGAGGGGCGGGGTCCCAGGGTCGACTCGGAAGACTGGCCGAAGGGGGGAGGCGGGCCCCCAGCAGCGGCGAGCGCAGAGCGGCAGTGTAGGCTGCCAAGCCCACTGGCTTTCGCACTTCACACGACGCGCAGCAGGGAATGTAGCACAGGAAAAGAGAGAGAGAGAGAGAGAGAGAGAGAGAAAAACAAAAGATATATATATATATATATATATATATATATATATATATGCTTCTCTCACCTGTTTTTGTGCACTCCGCCAGGGAGCTTGTCAGGCCAGGACCTCTGGGGGCTACTCAGGGGTCAACCCAGGAGTTGGGAGAGGTCCCGTCCCTTCAGCGGCCACCAAGGGCCTCCCAACCCGCCTGGCACAGCCGTGGCGCTTAAGCACCCGCGCTGCGTCCCAGACGCGCTGGGCCCTTGCCCCGCCGGGAGGTTAAACGTCACCAACCCCTGACCCCCTAGCTCTCGTCCTGGCAAAAACTCGCGCGGAGGCAGGCACGGCCACGCGCGAGACGGTAGCAATGCTGCCCCCTGTCTGTGGGTGGGCCAACACAGCTACGGAAGATGGATGAAACTCACGCTATCCATCAACGGCGTCGCGCACGCTCAGGTGGACTCCGCATAGGTTTCCTTGGAAGGTTCATATATGCTACTCTCACCTGTTTTTGTGCACTCCGCCAGGGAGCTTGTCAGGCCAGGACCTCTGGGGGCTACTCAGGGGTTAACCCAGGAGTTGGGAGAGGTCCCGTCCCATCAGCGGCCACCAAGGGCCTCCCAACCCGCCTGGCACAGCCGTGGCGCTTAAGCACCCGCGCTGCGTCCCAGACGCGCTGGGCCCTTGCCCCGCCGGGAGGTTAAACGTCACCAACCCCTGACCCCCTAGCTCTCTCCACGGTCCCTACCCTGGCAAAAGCCGCTCCTTCTTGCTACTTATGCCCTCCACCTTGGTGTAATGACATGAGGGAAGAAAGGTGGAGGATGGGCGGGACAAACAGACAGGCAGCTCAAAGCAAGAACAGTCCATCTCGCCTCTGCTCGCAGGCACGCGCGAGCAGGTTGCAGCGCCTCCGCTGCGCGGGCGAGAGATTTAATTCAGTGGCTTCGGCGACGGCATCATGGACGTAAAGCGGGCCGTGCGCGCCGATGCCATCTGCCTCGGAGCAGCGTCTGCTCATGGAGCTGTGGCTGCGGAAGTCGGCGGAGGCGCCTCCTGACGCCAGCTGTAAAGAGTGAGCTTGGCATCTTGCAGCTCCAGCAGCTCACGTACGCGGCCGAAAGTGGCATGAAACTGCTTGGCTCCATCTCGAGGCACCAGTCTTGTCCGTGCGCCTGAGCCTTTGCTCTGGCAAGGAGGGTGACCGCTACACCGTTCCGCACGAGCACGAACTGACGGGCACCAGTCTAATGCTGGCTCTTGGTGCTGCACAGCTGCAGCACGGTCATTTGGCGGACTGGATACAGCTGTACATCAGACCACGCGAGCGAGGTCAACTCCCTTGCCGGAGGTAAGCGTCGTAGCCTGCTGCCAGCACCGCCGCAGCGCCACGCTGGCCCACGGCCGCCAATGCACCTGCGAACGCTGCTGTAGGACTGATCGGCAGCGCGCGCCCAGCTGACTCCAGGCGTTGTCGTTTGGCCAGCGCCAGCTGTCCCACAGGTGCCCTCGCACGGCCGGGAAAGTGTGCATGATGCCTGGAATTGCATTATTAAGTTCAACTAGAGATTCTCCGCTCAGCCAACAGCTCCCGATGAAGGCGGCCACGCCAGCGTCGACCTGAGCGGGCGTCTGCGGCTGCCGGTGCTCCTGAATCCAGAAAACAACGACCTCCTCGACCGCCGCACGATGCCGCCGCAGGGTGAGCGGCGTGTCCAACGCCCCCTCGGCGGCTGGGACCTCGCTGCAGCTCGTTGCGCCATCGCCTGGGCCGTGACCCGGCTCACCTTTGCTGGTGCTTGCGCTGCCCGCTTGCCAGGGGCGGCTCTCCTGGCTCTCGCCGGCGGCAGCACTGGCAGCGGGGCAGCGGCGGCCGAAGCCCCAGCGGGGCGGCGTGTCGGCGGGCATGTCGACGGTGTCGCAGTACTGGTACAGCGGGTACCTGGCCGTCGCGTGGAGCAGGGAGTTGAGCTGGCGGAGCGCGGGCTGCAAAGCCCTCACGCTCGATCTGCCCTTGGTGCTGACTGCCGTGAACGGTTGGGCATCCAGAAAGGGCAGGCAGCGGCAGCGGTGGCTCTCACCTGCTCGGCACCTCCAACGTGCTCCAGCCACCGCAGCCTCCAGCTCCAGCGCTGAGATGTGCCCGGGCCGCTGCCAGCGCAAGCCTGGCTGCTGGAAATCGGGGAACACGTTCCAGCTCGCCTCAGGCACGGGCAGTTGGCCCCGCCGACGCCTCGCGTCCCAGATGAGGCTGCCGTCCCCGTAGTTGTCGTCCTGGTAGCGGTAGCTGTCGGCAGCCCAGCGCCCCGCGGCCAGCACCGAGGCGCAGTCGGGGCCCACGGGCCGGAACGGCGGGTGGCGTCCCGGGATCGGCCGCGTGATACACGGGAGGTCCGCCTCTGGGTCCAGCGTCGACCAGCCCTCCAAGACCGAGGTATTCAGTGGGAGCCTCTCCACCACAAGCAAAACCTCGAAACTCGCGGCCTCCCTCACGCCCTTGGTCTCGTCAGTGACGTCGGACGCCGTGAACGCCGTGACGGGCCACGAGCACCAGTACAGGCGCGGCCGCTTGACGTGGGCGTGACACCTGGGCCCGAGGAACACGGGCGTGACACCCAGCGCCCTGGAGAACTCCGCCCTCGACTCCAGGGTCATGCTGGACACGTTCTCGACAAACACCACGGAGCGCTCAGAACAGGCAACCTCCGCTGCCTGCGTCAGCTCGGGGACCGTGAAGAAGAGCTTCGGCCTCGACCCCTCTAGGTCGGTCCCCGCGACATTGATGCTTGCAAGATCTTGGCTCGGGCTTCCCGCGCTCAAGACGACCCGGTCGGCGTCCCGCGCGTAACCCTTCAGCATCTCCGTGAACCGCACCGTGTCGACGGCCTCGACGTTGCCAAGCTTGGTCACGCCCGCCAAACGGCGACGCACCAGTCGCCAGGCAGCGGGCTCAACCTCGCAGCTGACGGGGGCGATCATGTCGATCGGGAGTCTGGAGGCCTCCACCGCGGCCCCAGCACCGCCTGCGTAGAGCTCGATGAGAACGAAGCGAGGGCGCCACCGCGCACCACGCACAGGAGCCGCAACTGCACCAGGCCGCAAAGTCACTGCTGAAGCTCCTCCCCTCGCGCAGGCAACGCCCTGCGCCGAGAGCCCAGCCGTGTGGCAGATGTCCCCAGCGCGCTCACTGGCATCGGTCGCGATGTCACAAATGACGATCTTTGCGCGCAGGTCGGTGTATGCCAGCGGCAGCGCCTTCGCGAAGCCCAAGAGCTCGTCGCACATTCCAAGGGGATCAGCCTGCGGTCGCGTCCAGCACCCAGCAGCCCCCACGCTGTTGAGGAACCCCATAGAAGGCCTCCTGAACTCCGCTACCCTGACGCACCTGCCCTGGACCATGAGCATGCCCTGCGTCGAGAGGCCCTGTCTGCCCATGCCGCACAGGATGTGCGCGAGCGTCCGGTGCAGCTTCTCGGCCGTGACCCCGACCTGGCCGACGGCCCCGTCAAGACCTGCGCCCATCTGCACCAGGACCAGCGCGCGGCGCTTGACCTTGCCGGGGGCGTCGCTGGTCCCCGAGCCGCCGTAGGCGGCCCTCTGCTTCTCCGGGGCGCAGCTCACCGTGCCGATGAGCTCCGCGACCAACGCGCTGGGCACCCCCTCGCCATGGTCCCAGTCGTCGATGCAGTACTGGACCCACTGCTGCTCGAGCTCCTTCGACTTGATCGGATGTTGGCGGTCCCTGTGCCACTCGAGATCCGCAGGAAACCCTGAAGCGAGGGGGCGAGCGCCGCCCCCGAGGCGCCTGTGGCAGTGCTGAAACTCCGTGTCCGCTATGATCCAGCCCAACGGGAAGACGAGCAGCGCGAGGTGTGTCTTCCCTGGACCCGGCGCACCGATGAGCTCGTTTGGGATCGCCTCTGCGAGGGCCATGTGTGGCTGCCAAGCCTCGGGCAGCTCGCAGCCGTAGAAAGCGGAGGACAGGTCATCTGAGGACCCGAGCAGCATGTGCCCCTCTGGGAGCGGGACGGCGACCCCTGAGGGCGATGCACTTAGGGTCCCAATGCCGTCCTCCATGATGCGCTGGTAGCTGTCGGCCGAGACCATGTTGATGATCAGGCGCTGGACGCACGCCTGGCCGGGTGACCGCGTGCCGCCCTGGGCGACCCTGAACGCCCCAGCGAGCACCCTGCGGCTCCCGACCTTGAAGATGCGGTCGTCGCCGATCGGCGCAGCCAGCCCCACCTTGACAAGCTTGGTCCCGATGCGGTACCACTCCTGCTTGGACGTGACCTGGATCGCCGCTTGCGGGACCTCGGCAGGCGACTCATCCCGAGGGAGCAACGCCAGCGTGGGGCCGGCACGCCCGGCGCCCGCCTGAGCGTCCGCGAGGTCGACCGCCTTGACCGATGCGGGGTCGCCCTGCGCGGGGAGGCCTGGCATGTTGCCTGCAAGCAAGAGCGGCGGGGCGCGGGACATCACCTTGCCCCCGTGGGAGACGGTCTTCGACGCGATGACCTGGTCCCAGTCCGGGAGCTCGAACGCTGCGGCAGGATCCTGAACGAAGTTCGCACACCCCTCCTGCACAATGCCGAGCGCACTGACCAGACCTGCCGTGGGCCGCACTGCGGCGTCGGGTGGACAACGCATGTGCCCCATGTACGAGTAGTTCAGGCTGAAATCCACGAGCAGGGCCCGCCCCTGCGCCGTCGCGGCGTCCACCTCGCAGGTCTCCGACAACTGCTGGTGCAAGTACCAGGCGCCACGGTGCCTCTCGAAGAGTGGGGCGTCGGGCAACGGTAACGGCAACACCTCGCGCAGCCGCGCGAAGCTGGCCGTGGGGTCTGGCGAAGTGCACATCTCACAACCATACCGCCCGATCGCCCCTGGCAAACCGTGCACCGCCTCGTGGAGCGCGAGAGGGAGCCTGAACTTGGAGCTGACACCTGTGCCCACCTCGGCTGGCATCTGGCGCCACCGCCGCGGCTGCGAGCTGCCGCGCAGCTGCCGCTCAGGCGGGCGGAGGGCAGGCGGGGGCGTGCGCGAGGCCGCGGCCTCCGCAGCGTCGGTCCTCACGCCTGAACCCGGGCTGTCCTGCGAGCAGCGCTTGCGCCGCGGCTCTTCCCCGTCTTGCCTTCGCCGCGGCTCTTGGCAGCCGGCGGCCTCCCCATGCGCGCCTTCCACGCCGCCTGGGTCTCGCCCTCGCGCCTCGGGTGGGCCGCCTTGTGCCGCGTGAAGCCCCGGCCCGTAGCCGCGTCCGCTGGTGGCACGCGGGCGGCGGCAGCTGCGTCGAGGTCCCCCTCGAAGTCGCTCAGGAGCTGGTCCGACCGCGTGGGACTGCAGCTGGTCCTCCGCGCTGCTGGCGGCTTCTTCCCGGCGCGGAGAGCTGCGGGAACGTCGCCTGGGACTCGTTCGGCAAGGATCCTCATCGCCTTGGCCGATCCTGAAACTGGCGTCCCGGGAGCAGAGGGGCGGGCGGCGCGCCTCCGCGCGCCCATGGCTCGCAGGTGCCGTCCTCCCCAGCAACGGAGGCGGCTCCCGGCCAGGCCCCCAGCCCGGCCTGCGGTCTGCAAGTCGCTGGCGGAGTTCGGCGACCTTCAGCTCCCGGGCCTCGACCTTCTCGGCAGCGTTCTCCTCGCCCAGAGAGGTGCCTGACGGAAGCTGTTCCTGCGAGTCCAGCGTGAGCCATCGCGCCAATTGCCAGTTCCCGTCGCGGATGCCCATCGACCGCGCCTTGAACCTCAGCATGACCAGATCCGCAGTCTTGATGACCTCCCTGCGCACGATGCCGTCGAGCGCCAGCCCTGGCGGGCGGAGGACCCGCCCCTCGACAGCCCCCAGCGTCCGCGGCGGGTGAGCAACGAAGAGCACCGTGTACAGGAACTGCGTGACACCTGGGGCCAGCAGGTCGGCCTCGCCTGCGGACAACTGCTGAGTGAACTGGCCGCACAGGTGGCCAAGCCCATTCACGAGGAGAGCGTCGGGCCGCTGTCGAGCGATCCAGCCGAACAAGTCGCGCTTGCAGCTCACGCCCTGGTAGTGGTCGCAGCCCCCAAGGCGCTCTGTGTCGCTCTCCACGCCGTCCTCCACGTCGTCGTCGTCGCGGTCCAGGAGTGCCGTGGTCACGGCCGATGCTGGCCTGCTCCTCCTCCTCGAGGCGCCAGTGCGCGCTGGGGCAGCAGCGGCGGCTCGGTCAGCAACCTCCTGTGCCAGGCGCTCGCCTATGGCTCCTGCCGGGCGCGCAGCGTTCTTGGGCGTGCCCTGCCTCGGCACATCACGAGCTGCCCTGCCCTCCAGCCGCGCCAACCGCGCCTCGAGCGCGGGGTCCTCGGCGGTCTCCTCGAGCCCGGCGATCTCCTGGTCGAGTGGGCCCGCCTCTCCTGGCCCGCCCGGGGTCTGGGTGCCCTTCACCTCGCGGGCGCACATGTGCGGGGGCCCGCGAGGCTTCTCCTCGACTTTGTTGCCCCATCCCCGAGCGGCCAGCCGCCGAGCACTCCAGGCAATGGCTCGGCCGCGGGCGAGGCGGTCCGCACAGGCGCCCCAGGAACCGCTGCTAGGCAGATGAGCTTCGCCCGCTCGCGGGCTACGCCGCTGTGGCCCATCACCTGCCACATGTCCAAGCGCTCGACCACAGCACCAGCTGGAGCGACCGTCCCGCACTTGTTGGCGCTGCACCTGCAGAGGTGGAAGACCGTGGCCGCGCGATGAGCGCCCCGCTGCCCGCAGGAGGCTGCCTACCATGAGAAGTACGTGTCGCTGGCGCCCACCTGCCGGGCCTTGATGAATCTGCCGATGGTGTCCGCCTGGTAGGCGACCTCGACCTCGAGCATCTCGACGCCCTGCGGCGCCGCTGGGTCGTCCTAGACCCGCGCCAGGACCCGTGCTCCAGCCCTCGGCGGCAGCCCCGCCACCAGCTCGCCGTTCAGCGCCGCGTCGAGCCAGGCTCCACTCGAAGAGGGCCAGCCGCCGGCAGCTGGGGCTGCCCGCTCCATCGGGCTCCTCGCCAGCAACTAAGCGGGAGAGGGGCGACCCGCGCCCGGGATCCTCGTCTCCCAGCCAGGTCTTCGCTCCCCTCAACCCGCCAAGGCTGCCAGCGAGGCTGATCAGAATCAGTCGTCGGAGCGTGGCCCTGCAAGCGGCCGCGCGAGCGCGGCAGTCTTACAGTAGTCAGAGTGGCTCGGCAGCGGCCACAGACGGGCGGCACCGCCCGGTGACTCCGCTGCCTGTCTCAAACCAACACAGCTACGGAAGATGGATGAAACTCACGCTATCCATCAACGGCGTCGCGCACGCTCAGGTGGACTCCGCATAGGTTTCCTTGGAAGGTTCATATATAGAGAGAGAGAGAGAGACTGCGAGAGCGAGAGATACAAAAAAAAGTAAGTGCAGAAAAAAAGGAGAAGAGAAAGAGAAAGGCGGAAAAAGAGAGAGAGAGATAGGAAAAAAGATACAGAGAGCCAAATATCATGAGAGAGAGGGAGAGAGGGAGGGAGAGAGGGAGAGATAGTTCGAGAACTATGTGTATGTCTTCATAGAGCGAGTGAGAGAGGGGGGAAACAACAACTCACAAGCAACAAACAAACACAGATGGAGGGAAAGAGACACTATAGACACATATAAATAATAGAGACAGGAAAGGGGGTAACTAGAGGATGATATCGAGACAGCGAAAGAGTTATATGTATATCAAGTTAAAGGGAAGAGAAGAAACATCCAGATCAGAGGAAAGCATATAGATACATATAAGGAGAGAAAGAGAGAACGAGAGATACAAAGAGAGAGAGAGAGAGACATATGGAAAGAGGGGGATGCAAGCAGGGAAGGGAGGGCAGGAGAGAGAGAGGGACAGAGATAGAGAGGAAGAGAGAGCGAGAGAGAGAGAGAGATAGAGAGAGAGAGAGAGAGACAGACACACAGGCCGACAGACAGACAGACAGACAGACAGACAGGCAGGCACGCAGACAGACAGACAAACAAACAGAGAGGGAGAGAGAGCGAGAGAGAGGGAGAGAGAGAGAGAGAGAGAAAAACCGCGAAACTATACATGAAAAAGAACCAAGCCACAACCAATTAACACCAACAAAAAATGCACTTAAGGAGAAAGAGGGAGGTAGAGAGAGAGGGGGAACACAAAAGAGCGAGGGAGACAAAGAGAGGTGAGAGAGGAGGAGAGATAAGGAGAATAAGGTAAAACAGCGAAGATAGCTAGAGAAACGGGAGGGGGAGACAAAGACAGAGAGGACCATGACCTGCGAAGCGAAACAGCCCTCGCCGTGCTAGGCTCCCACGATGAAATCAGAGTGGAGTCTCCATCGC